CCCTTCGACCCAAGTTTGGTGAAAGGGTCGAGTGTTTGGAGAAGCAGCACAACTAATACCCTAGCAAAGTTGTGCGATTTTCTGGTAGTTTATTACACGATTTTCCATCTGAACACCTGCCTATCTTGCCTCTACATATTATCTATGACACCCAAGAGGAATATTGATGGAGGTACCAAGAAGAATAAACATAAATCTTTGGTTTGAAAGAATTCAGCTTTGACACAGAGGAAACTAGGGCGGGGATAGAACCAGCGATCAGGGTTCTATCAGAGCCCCCGTGGTATGGTTTGTTTGCAATCGTGTCATTACGATTTCGCGAGTAAGAATTACGAATTTGTACATAGAGCAGTGCAGTGTGTGATCTGGGTACCAAGGTACCCAGGTACCAAGACTCACACAGTAGTCATCCAGGTACCAAGACTCACACAGTAGTCATCTAGGTACCAAGACTCACACAGTAGTCATCCAGGTACCAAGACTCACACAGTAGTCATCCAGGTACCAAGACTCACACAATAGTCATCCAGGTACCAAGACTCACACAATAGTCATCCAGGTACCAAGACTCACACAGTCATCTAGGTACCAAATTTCGTTTTTACACGTCTATAAACGACCGGAATAACTTACCAAACCGGTCGTGTCATTGACCAGCTCAAGGCTACACTCAAGGACTATACCTTATATATATATATATATATATATATATATATATATATATTTTATATATATATATATATATATATATACAGATAGATAAATAGATATGTCGTGCAGAATAGGTAAAGTTGCGATTTTGGCTTAAACAGCAACGTTGTTCTTGCCGAATAAGACAAGCGAAAATTTGTGTATGCAATAATTTCGCAAAATTCATTCTGAACCTAACGAAAAAAATATATTTCATTGTGTTTGTTTATTATTAAATTATTGTCAACTTATCTAAAATATATTTAGTTGGATTAGCTTAAATTAAATTGTTCTTGTTATAATAAGGTCAGGTAAGTTTTCTAAGATTCTTTTGGAGCAAAATTATATTTTTTTACATTAACATTAATGAAAAAAATATATCTTTAAACATATAAGAGAAAATTTTAGAAAGAACTTAATTTTAAATGAGTTCTTGCTAATTGACCAGTTTTACATATTCGGCACGACATGAGCATGCACGGCATGCGTGAGCGTGTTTGATAGGAGTGAATGGAGACAAATGGTTTTTAATACTTGAAGTGCTGTTGGAGTGTGAGCAAAGTAACATTTATGAAGGGATTCAGGGAAACCGGCAGGCCGGACTTGAGTCCTGGAGATGGGAAGTACAGTGCCTGCACTCTGAAGGAGGGGTGTTAATGTTGCAGTTTAAAAACTGTAGTGTAAAACACCTTCTGGCAAGACAGTGATGGAGTGAATGATGGTGAAAGTTTTTCTTTTTCGGGCCACCCTGCCTTGGTGGGAATCGGCCAGTGTGATAATAAAAAATAATAATATATATATATAATATATATATATAATATATATATATATATATATATATTTTATATAATAATATATATATATATAATATGTCGTGCCGAATATGTAAAACTGGTCAATTAGCAAGAACTCATTTAAAATTAATCCTTTCTGAAATTTTCTCTTATACGTTTAAAGATATATTTTTTTTCATTAATGTTAATGTAAAATTTTTTAATTTTGCGCCAAAAGAATCTTAGAAAACTTACCTAACCTTATTATAACAAGAACAATTTATTTTAGCCTAACCCAACTAAATATATTTTAGATTTGTTTACAATAATTTAATACTAAACAAACACAGTGAAATATATTTTTTTCGTTAGGTTCAGAATGATTTTTGCGAAATTATTGCATACACAAATTTTCACTTGTCCTATATGGCAAGATGAACGTTGCTATTTAAGGCAAGATTGCGAGTTCTGCCTATTCGGCACGACATATATATATGGTGAAACTCACAGGCCGGTGCGTTAACCACTGGACCAGGTTAATATGATTCATGTAACTTAAGTTACTAGAGCCTCTGGCCCAGTGGTTAAAGCACTGGCCTGTGTGGTTTCAGCACTCACTTGCAGTGGCGTCGTGGGGGACGGGTCACCCCGGGTGACACCATCAAGGGTGACACCATCATGGGTGACACCATCATGGGTGACACCATCATGGGTGACATCATGGGTGACACCATGGGTGACACCATCAAGGGTGACACCATCATCGGTGACACCATCAAGGGTGACACCATCATGGGTGACACCATCATGGGTGACACCATCATGGGTGACACCATCATGGGTGACACCATCAAGGGTGACACCATCAACGGTGACACCATCAAGGGCGACACCATCAAGGGTGACACCAAGGACGACACCATCAAGGGTGACACCGTCAAGGGTGACACCATCAAGGGTGACACCATCAAGGGTGACGCCATCATGGGTGACACCATCAAGGGTGACACCATCATGGGTGACACCATCAAGGGTGACACCATCAAGGGTGACACCATCAAGGGTGACACCATCATGGGTGACACCATCATGGGTGACACCATCATGGGTGACACCATCAAGGGTGACACCATCATGGGTGACACCATCAAGGGTGACACCATCAAGGGTGACACCATCAGGATGACACCACATGGGTGACACCATCAAGGGTGGCACCATCAAGGGTGGCAACCATCAAGGGTTGACACCATCAAGGGTGACACCATCAGGGTGACACCATCAAGGGGCACCATCAAGGTGGCACCATCAAGGTGGCACCATCAAGGGGGCACCACAAGGGTGGCACCATCAAGGGTGCACCATCAAGATGACACCATCAAGGTGACACATCAAGGGTACACCATCAAGGGTGACACCATCAAGAGTGACACCATCAAGGGTGGCACCATCAAGGGTGACACCATCAAGGGTGGCACCATCAAGGGTGGCACCATCAAGGGTGGCACCATCAAGAGTGACACCATCAAGGGTGGCACCATCAAGGGTGGCACCATCAAGAGTGACACCATCAAGGGTGACACTATCAAGAGTGACACCATCAAGGGTGGCACCATCAAGGGTGGCACCATCAAGAGTGACACCATCAAGGGTGACACCATCAAGAGTGACACCATCAAGGGTGGCACCATCAAGGGTGACACCATCAAGGTGACACATCAAGGTGACACCATCAAGAGTGACACCATCAAGGTGGCACCATCAAGGGTGGCACATCAAGGGTGACACCATCAAGAGTTGACACCATCAAGGGTGACACCATCAAGGGTGACACCATCAAGGGTGACACCATCATGGGTGACACCATCAAGGGTGACACCATCATGGGTGACACCATCAAGGGTGACACCATCAAGGTGACACATCAAGGGTGCACCATCAAGGGTGACACCATCAAGGGTGGCACCATCAAGAGTGACACCATCAAGGGTGGCACCATCAAGGGTGACACCATATAATGCTGCACCGACATAAGAGAAATCCTTTGTTTCTGTATAGCCTGTTAATTGATTACAAAGTACAAATAGGCCTATATAGGGAAAATCATTGAATTTGATGTGATGTATGATTTTGCAAGATTGAAGGCAATGAAATGTAAGATCAGATTCACTGAGATGTTACCTGTACTCAAGGTCACATGTAAGATCAGATTCACTGAGATGTTACCTGTACTCAAGGTCACATGTAAGATCAGATTCACTGAGATGTTACCTGTACTCAAGGTCAAATGTAAGATCAGATTCACTGAGATGTTACCTGTACTCAAGGTCACATGTAAGATCAGATTCACTGAGATGTTACCTGTACTCAAGGTCAAATGTAAGATCAGATTCACTGAGATGTTACCTGTACTCAAGGTCAAATCGGAACTACTGTTTCTGATATTCCAATGTTGAAGATAAACAAATGTACGTCGTGTTGCGTCTACTGAAAATAGTACTTAAGTTTTAATACATAACTTCATTACTGCAAGTACATGATATAACTTGTACAGACCATAGCTGACATCAACGATATACTACTATATAGAAAAGCCGCTTGTTATGCTGAGCATTTCCCGCAAATTAGGTCAGTTTTGTCCTCCAGGATGCGACCCACACTAGTCCACTAACACGCAGGTACCTACTTTACTGCTAGGTGAGCATGGGCAGTAGGTATCTTAAGGAAACATGTCCTAATGTTCCCACAGATGTGCCAGGGTGTCAGTATAGACATCAGTGTATCAGTGTGTCTTGGCTAGAAAAAATATTTGGGAACAATACAGTGACTGGTGGGACAAATTAATGGTCCAAAACGGACCAAATCATCGTCAGAAGTTTCGGTCTCTTGGGTGCGAGTTACTGTATGTAGATAATGGTATAAAATACCGAGAAGCTGATGATTAAGACACATGTGCAGCAGTTGGGTGTCTTTATTGTCGAAACGTTTCGCCTACACAGCAGACTTCTTCAGTCAGATACAGAAGCAACAGGTATAGTGGTGAAATGAAGATATAATCAGTCCCTCAGCCTGGAGAAGAGATGAGTTCCATGGAGCTGAACTCTTCTCCAGGCTGAGGGACTGACCACCTCAAATACAATTTCTCCAGAGCACTGAAGAATCCTCCTCCTGCTTCGCCTCACCTGACTACAGTATATAAACCACTTCTACGGCCCTATGCTGTACTTTCTACAAGATTGATGGTCTGAAAACATTGACTCCACAGACGCCTGCTATGTAGGCGAAACGTTTCCAGATGCGTCTTAATCACGTCATGCATAATCCTGACACCATCATTATCAATATCAGCCTAAAACTGACGGTAATCACTAAGGTACTGAGACGGTAGTTCATGGTACTGATAAATGCGCCACAAGGACAAATTTCGCTTACACGGAATAGTCAATAACAAATTAGCATCGCGTCAGTATTAAAAAAAAGCGAGTAGGAGAGAGAGTGTAAGGAGCATTTTAAAGAAGACTGGAAGGGGAAACTTGCCTGATCTGATGATGCTGGTGTTGTAAGAAGGAGCTGAAAGAAAAAAAATGGAACAGAGGATCAAGAAGAGTAAACTATAACATGCTATTAAAACAAAACAAAAAACGATCGTGCAAAAGGGAGGAAAAACAAAAGAACAGCAACAGGATGTAAACAGAATTACAGAAGCAACTTTGAACATGACACGAAACACAAGAATTAAAATCTAATAAAGGGAATTAAAGTGGAATAAGTAAATAATAGATAACATAAGTTGCTATATTAAGTTCTCTCAGAATTATAGATGTGAACTTAAGAGGAATTATGAAGTAATAACACATTATAAACATTGAGAAGGGTATTACTCCCAGTATATATACATTGAGAAGGGTATTACTCCCAGTATATATACATTGAGAAGGGTATTACTCCCAGTATATATACATTGAGAAGGGTATTACTCTCAGTATATATACATTGAGAAGGGTATTACTCTCAGTATATATACATTGAGAAGAGTATTATTCCCAGTATATATACATTGAGAAGGGTATTACTCTCAGTATATATACATTGAGAAGGATATTACTCCCAGTATATATACATTGAGAAGGGTATTACTCTCAGTATATATACATTGAGAAGAGTATTATTCCCAGTATATATACATTGAGAAGGGTATTACTCTCAGTATATATACATTGAGAAGAGTATTATTCCCAGTATATATACATTGAGAAGGGTATTACTCTCAGTATATATACATTGAGAAGAGTATTATTCCCAGTATATATACATTGAGAAGGGTATTACTCTCAGTATATATACATTGAGAAGAGTATTATTCCCAGTATATATACATTGAGAAGGGTATTACTCTCAGTATATATACATTGAGAAGGGTATTATTCCCAGTATATATACATTGAGAAGGGTATTATCCCAGTATATATACATTGAGAAGGGTATTATTCCCAGTATATATACATTGAGAAGGGTATTACTCCCAGTATATATACATTGAGAAGGGTATTACTCCCAGTATATATACATTGAGAAGGGTATTACTCTCAGTATATATACATTGAGAAGGGTATTACTCCCAGTATATATACATTGAGAAGGGTATTACTCCCAGTATATATACATTGAGAAGGGTATTACTCTCAGTATATATACATTGAGAAGGGTATTACTCCCAGTATATATACATTGAGAAGGGTATTACTCTCAGTATATATACATTGAGAAGGATATTACTCTCAGTATATATACATTGAGAAGGGTATTACTCCCAGTATATATACATTGAGAAGGGTATTACTCCCAGTATATATACATTGAGAAGGGGTATTACTCCAGTATATATACATTGAGAAGGGTATTACTCCCAGTATATATACATTGAGAAGGGTATTACTCCCGTATATATACATTGAGAAGGGTATTATTCCCAGTATATATACATTGAAAGGATTTTACTCTCAGTAAATATACATTGAGAAGGGTATTACTCCAGTATATATACATTGAGAAGGGTATTACCCCTCAGTATATATACATTGAGAAGGGTATTACTCCCAGTATATATACATTGAGAAGGGTATTACTCCCAGTATATATACATTGAGAAGGATATTACTCTCAGTATATATACATTGAGAAGGGTATTACTCCCAGTATATATACATTGAGAAGGGAAATTACTCCCAGTATATATACATGAGAAGGGTATTACTCCCAGTATATATACATTGAGAAGGATATTACTCCCAGAAAATATACATTGAGAAGGGTATTACTCCCAGTATATATACATTGAGAAGGGTATTATTCCCAGTATATATACATTGAGAAGGATATTACTCTCAGTATATATACATTGAGAAGGGTATTACTCCCATATATATACATTGAGAAGGGTATTACTCTCAGTATATATACATTGAGAAGGGTATTACTCCCAGTATATATACAATGAGAAGGGTATTACTCCCAGTATATATACATTGAGAAGGGTATTACTCCCAGTATATATACATTGAGAAGGGTATTACCCTCAGTATATAACATTGAGAAGGGTATTACTCCCAGTATATATACATTGAGAAGGGTATTACTCCCAGTATATATACATTGAGAAGGGTATTACTCTCAGTATATATACATTGAAAAGGGGTATTACTCCCAGTATATATACATTGAGAAGGGTATACTCCCAGTATATATACATTGAGAAGGATATTACTCCCAGTATATATACATTGAGAAGGGTATTATCCCAGTATATAAACATTGAGAAGGTATTACTCCCAGTATATATACATTGAGAAGGATATTACTTCCAGTATATATACATTGAGAAGGGTATTACTCCCAGTATATATACATTGAGAAGGGTATTACTCCCCAGTATATATACATTGAAAAGGGATATTACTCCCAGTATATATACATTGAGAAGGGTTTTTACTCCCAGTATATATACATTGAGAAGGGTATTACTCCCAGTATATATACATTGAGAAGGATATTACTTCCAGTATATATACATTGAGAAGGGTATTACTCCCAGTATATATACATTGAGAAGGGTATTACTCCCAGTATATATACATTGAGAAGGGTATTACTCCCGTATATATACACTGAGAAGGGTATTACTCCCAGTATATATACATTGAGAAGGGTATTACTCCCAGTATATATACATTGAGAAGGGTATTACTCTCAGTATATATACATTGAGAAGGGTATTACTCCCAGTATATATACATTGAGAGGTATTACTCCAGTATATATACATTGAGAAGGGTATTACTCTCAGTATATATACATTGAGAAGGGTATTACTCTCAGTATATATACATTGAGAAGGGTATTACTCCCAGTATATATACACTGAGAAGGGTATTACTCCCAGTATATATACACTGAGAAGGGTATTACTCCCAGTATATATACATTGAGAAGGGTATTACTCCCAGTATATATACATTGAGAAGGGTATTACTCCCAGTATATATACATTGAGAAGGATATTACTCCCAGTATATATACATTGAGAAGGGATTACTCCCAGTATATATACATTGAGAAGGATATTACTCCCAGTATATATACATTGAGAAGGATATTACTCCCAGTATATATACATTGAGAGGAATACTTCTCTCATATATGCACTGAGAGGGACATTTCTCTTTATATATATATATATATATATATATTATATATATATATATATATATATATATATATATATATATATATATATATATATATATATATACTGAGACTAATGGGTATTTTAGGTATTAAAGTAGTGGTGTGTGGTAGTGAAGAAGTCATAAGCAGGCTTCATGGACGTCGTGTAATAGATATAAACCCAAGTAAACCACACAAGGTTTATCTGAAATAAGATGGTTTTATGAAGGCTACAATAGTAAAGAATAGGTTAAATACCTGAAAGTCAATAAATACAGATGTTATGAAGTACTTTTTCAGCCTCAGTGTGGTCATGATGGCTTAGATGAGGAAATGGTGGACGCAAACGTCATACAAGGTTTCGAGTATAGGTATGGCATGAGAAATAAAGCAAGAAGTTAGTGAAATTTGTCAGATGATGTTAGAACTCAGAGTTTACACACACACACACACACACACACACACACACACACACACACACACACAATGCTGGGCCAGGAGCTGTCACTCGACCCCTGAAACTACATATAGGTGAGTACACACACACACATACACACATGCTGGGCCAGGAGCTGTCACTCGACCCCTGGAACTACATATAGGCGAGTACACACACACACACACACACATACATATACATACATACACATACACACACATACACACAAGTAATTTAAGGACGTACTTGTTTAGTGTGAGGGCAACAGACGAGCAGAATTACTGCATGTGTAAGTGGTGGAGACAAACTCCATACACAGTTTTAAGAGTAGATACGAAGGGGATCAAGAGGCCAGAAACCACAACTTAGAGGCGGAGCCAGGAGCCATAACTCAACCCAAGCACAAATAAATACATGCCAAATACAACCATGCGGTGAATATACATTCATTATATACATAATTCACTGTATGATGGGAGGTACAATGGTGTCAGTGAGGAAAGCTTTTGATTCAAGGAACTGGAGTATCCTCTCCTTCTCTGAATCAAGCCTGATTACCTTGTACATAGTAAACTCTCTCAGACACCAATCTCAGAGACCAATCTCAAGAGACCAATCTCAGAGACCAATCTCAAGAGACCAATCTCAGAGACCAACCTGAGAGATCACTCTCAGAGACCAATATCAGAGACCAATCTCAAGAGACCAATCTCAGAGACCAATCTCAGAGACCAATCTCAGAGACCAATCTCAGAGCCCAATCTCAGAGCCCAATCTCAGAGCCCAATCTCAGAGACCAATCTCAGAGACCAATCTCAGAGACCAATCTCAAGAGAATATCTCAGAGACCAATCTGAGAATACATCTCAGGTACATATCAGAGACCAATTCTCAGAGACCAATCTCAGAGCAATCTCAGAGCCCAATCTCAGAGCCTCAATCTCAGGAGACCAATCTCAGGCCAACTCAGAGGACAATCTCAGAGACCAATCTCAAAGTCAATCTCAGAGCTAATCTCAGAGAATCAAGCTTTTCAAGCCCTAAATTGGGTCTCTAAATTGCAGTATATAATGGTTTCATCCAAGAAGAGTAAATTAGTACAGTGATCTAAGTCACATGACTTGTACAAAACTGTATGTAAATATTTAGGAAAAGGAGACGAAAATACCTTGAGGTGCCTGGAAACATGCAGTGTAATATCATGCAGTGTAATATGCAGTGTAATATCATGCAGTGTAATATCATGCAGTGTAATATCATGCAGTGTAATATGCAGTGTAACATACAGCAGCATAATAACGTACACATATATACACTGATAGGTATCTCTCATTGTATGTACATCAGGAGATGTATATATATCTGTGTATGTACACTGAGAAGTGTATATCAATGATATATACTGTGAATATATATTAAAATAGTATACAATACGGACAGGTTAGTAAGCATGAAACATGTACAACAATTATAGGTATCTATTCAGAAACGTTTCGCCCACACAGCAGACTTGGTCAGTCAAGTACAGAAAAGTTGGCAGGAGCAGTAGAGATGTGAAGACAACGTAGTCAGTCCATCACCCTGGAAGATGTAATTCTGAGGTGGTCAGTCTACGTCTGACCACCTACTGACGATGTTACCTATATCCTATATAATGTTCCTATACCACGTGTGGCTACTATATCAATCATCTGTGTAAAATTTCTATCAAATGTCTTATAGAAGTGTGTATACGCCCACTATAGTTGGTTTATCATGATCTATCACCATGGATATCTTAGTCAAAAAGGTTGGTAAATTATTCATGTAAGAATATATATTTGTAAAACCGTGCTGAAATTAGTTGATCAACCTATATATTTGAAAGCGGCTTTAAACTGCATCACCAATTACTGATTCCATCATTTCTTAATAATTAAGGCAAGGCTGACTGGTCCATAATTTGAAGCTAAGGATCTATCTCCCAACTAGTATCAAATATGACATCTTCCGATGGAAATAAATGGTATAAAATACCGACACAATGGAAATATAAACACTTATGCAGTATAACGTGATCCTTTGTTGACAAACATTTCGAAACGTTGCCAATAAAGGATCACATTATACTGCTGAAGTGTTTATATTTCCTTTGACATCTTCCACTCACCTGGTACAATACCTGTTTGTAGTGATCTGCTGAAAAGACCAGCTAATGATTTTGCTAAGCTCCTACTTACATTCCTCTACATTGTAATCAAAAGAAGCGCTAAACCGCAAGGGTTATACAGCACAGCAGGGCAGGGAAGGATGCAAAGGAAATGGGTGGCAAGAGGGAGAGGATAGTGGATAGTGCAGGGGTAGAGGGTAGCAAGACATTAAGGTAGAAAGGACGGAGGAGAGTGCTAGAGGCATCATCAGAGTTTGTGTAGTAAATCAATCGCTGTCAGAAATTCAGTGTGAGAGTCTGGGTTAAAGGAGGGTCTGTCAGCAAGACGGGAAGGTAAAGGAAGGGAAGACCAGAGAGGGGACGACGTACATTCCTCTATAACCCTTGAGAACAAACAGGTCATCAGGCCAGGTGACTTGTTTGGTTGTTTGAGGCCCAGGTCATCAGGCCAGGTGACTTGTTTGGTTGTCTGAGGCCCGGGTCATCAGGCCAGGTGACTTGTTTGGTTGTCTGAGGCCCGGGTCATCAGGTCAGGTGACTTGTTTGGTTGTCTGAGGCCCAGGTCATCAGGTCAGGTGACTTGTTTGGTTGTCTGAGGCCCAGGTCATCAGGCCAGGTGACTTGTTTGGTTGTCTGAGGCCCGGGTCATCAGGCCAGGTGACTTGTTTGGTTGTCTGAGGCCCGGGTCATCAGGCCAGGTGACTTGTTTGGTTGTCTGAGGCCCAGGTCATCAGGCCAGGTGACTTGTTTGGTTGTCTGAGGCCCAGGTCATCAGGCCAGGTGACTTGTTTGGTTGTCTGAGGCCCAGGTCATCAGGCCAGGTGACTTGTTTGGTTGTCTGAGGCCCAGGTCATCAGGCCAGGTGACTTGTTTGGTTGTCTGAGGCCCAGGTCATCAGGCCAGGTGACTTGTTTGGTTGTCTGAGGCCCGGTCATCAGGCCAGGTGACTTGTTTGGTTGTCTGAGGCCCAGGTCATCAGGTCAGGTGACTAGTTGGTTGTCTGAGGTCCAGGTCACTACTGACTTTGATCTTGCATGATTTATTCTCCTCCTAACCTGCATAATTGTTGATTTATGGAATCTGTTTCGTTTCCTCTTGGGTAAAAATAGAGAGCAAATAAGTGTGGAAAATGATACAGATTTCTTCATTACTAACAGTAAGCTGACCTGAATTACATTTAAGTGATCCTATCTTCCCTAATCTTGCCCTTATATACCTAAAAGAAACCCTTAGGGTTGCTCTTTGATTCCCTCACAACTTTTAAGTTCATATTCTCTTCTGGCTTTCCATATTCCTTCTTGACTTCTCTCTTACATAAAATATATCGTTCAATAAGACGGCCGTCGCCTCTTTTGATACGCCTGTAAATCTCTCTGTCTCTTTCACCCAAGAGATGTTCCAGTCTCTTGTTTATCCCATGAAGATCATTCATGTTTAATCTAAATTCTCTACCAGAAACATATGCAGCTCGTCCAGCTTGTACAATGTTCCGGGAATTATCATACTGGCAGCCATCACTGCTCTGTCTGGTCCCCCTCACGACTGTCCCCAGTCAACTAACTTACCCAGTCAATAATAGAGCAGACGAGAACTTGAACCGTGGTCAATTCAATATATAATATATATATTAATATATATATATATATATATATATATATATATATTATATATATATAATGGGAAGAAGAGTTGGCATCATCAGTATAAAGAATATTACCTAAGTTTAAAGAAGCTGTGATGAAGGGAATGTTGAAAGTTGTTTCTGTGCAATGTTGAAAGTTTGCAACACCAATCTGATAGCTGAAGTTTAAAGCTCTTCTTTTTTACTTGGTAAAATTTACAGAGCTGTTATCCTGCCTCAGCTCGTTTACAGGTAAGCTGGTGTTATCCTGCCCCCTGCTTATTTACAGGATAAGGACTTAACCTACCTCAGTTCATTTACAGGTTAGGAGCTGTTATCCTGCCTCATCTCGCTTACGGGCCAAAAACTGCCCAGGATGCCAACCACATAAGTCAGCTAACTCCTAGGTACCTATTTACTGCTAGGTGAACAGTGGCAGCAGCAGCAGGTGCTAGGAGACTTGCCCATAGGTCTCACTCTGCCCAGGATGGATTTACATACTTCACTACTTTACCAAAAACCACACACCACCTACAGTAATTACCACCAAAACAACTATAACCACCCCACACCTTAGCAACCCACCACCACCACCACCACCACTATCAACCACCCACCACTAGCAACCACTCACCACCACTATCAGCACCCACCACCCCACTACACTAACCTCTGTCAGCATAAGACAACCTATCATCGTCTAATGCTTCTTTTTCAGCACAGTTAGGATGTCTTCTTTCCATCCTCATGTTTACTCCACCACACAGTATGGTCCCAGCTCTGCAACCACACACGTCAGCAAGATGTCGTCTCCCTCCGGAACTCTCTGGGCGCGTTGGCAGTATTACGAATAAAAGGCTTGGTTTCCGATCCTGTGGAAGAGAGAGATGTGTGTTAGTGAGGATCTAAGTCACAAACCCATACATACGAGAGTATCGAACCGAGTCGACATTGACAAGTCAGACTATACACGAAATGAGGAGCCATTATAATAGGAGAGGGGGACAGAACGGGACAGATAGTGACGAGGAAAATGCTGGTATGGAAATGACCAATCTTTAAGTACAGGATCCATTTCTTTAAGTATAGGTCCCATCCGTTTATATAGACCAACCCTTTAAATATAGGATCCATCTTTAATTATAAGACCCAATCCTTTAACTATAGGATCCAATCCATTATGTATAGGATCTAATCCTTTAAGTGCTTGACCCAATTTCATAAGTTTAGAATCCAATCCCTAAATGTGGGCTTATAGAGGCTCAGATTCTAATCCCTTAATTGTGGAATGCAATCCATATGTGTGGAATTTCCAATTCTATAAGAGATTGTGGGATCCAATCCTCTATCAATTGTATCCAATCCTATAACAGTGGGATCCAATTCTATAACAATGGGATCCAATCCTATAACAATGGGATACAATTTTATAACAATGGGATCCAATCCTATAACAACGGGATCCAATTCTATAACACTAAAATACTCACTAATGGTACAAGGGACACTGCCATTCGTGCAAGCTATCTCTGGCATGTTCTACAGTAAGCTTTGCTAATTCAAGCGTACGAGCAATAGATTCAGCTTGAGTGGATCCTGCCCGGTTACTACCTGTCTCTGGCCGGCTACTACCAGCCTCTGGGCGGCTACTACCTGTCTCTGGCCGGCTACTACCAGCCTATGGCCGGCTACTAACCTCTGGGGCTACTGTCTATGGGCGGCTACTACCAGCCTATGGCGGCTTAACAGCCTCTGGGCGCTGCTCCCTTTATCTATGGCGGCTACTACCTGTCCTCTGGCCGCTACTACAGCCTCGGGCGGCTACTATGTCTCGGGCGGCTACTACCTGTCTCTGGGCGGCTACTACCGTCTCTGGCGCTACTACCAGCCCTGGGCGGCTATACCTGTTAGGCCGCTATTTACCAGCCTCTGGCGGCTGCTACCTTTCTCTGGCCGCTACTACCACCTCTGGGCGGCTCTACCTTCTCTGGCGGTACACCAGCCTCTAGGAGGCTCTACCTGTCTTGGCCGGCTACTACCAGCTCTGGGCGGCTGCTACCTGTATTTGGCCGGCTACTACCAGCCTTGGGCGGCTACATACTTCTCTGGCCGGCTACTACCAGCCTCTGGCGGCTACTGTCTCTGGCCGGCTATACCAGCCCTGGGCGGCTACAAACCTGCATCTGGCGGCTATACCAGCCTCTGGGCGGCACTACCTGTTCCTAGGCCGCAAATACCAGTCCTGGGCGGCTACTAACCTGTCTCTGCCGTACTACAGCCTCGGGCGGCTACTACCTTTTCTCTGGCGGCTACTACCTGTCTCTGCCGGCTATACAGCCTCTGGCGGCTCCTACCTGTCTCTGGCCGCACTACCAGTACTCTAGGCGGCTACTACCTGTCTCTGGCCGGCTACTACCAGCCTCGGGGCGGCTGCTCCCTGTATTTGCCGGCTACTCCCAGCCTCTGGCGTACTACCTGTCTCTGGCCGGGCCGGTACTACCAGCCTTGGCGCTACTGCTCTGGCCGGCTACTACCAGCCTCTGGGCGGCTGCTACCTGTCTCTGGCCGGCTACTACCAGCCTCTGGCGGCTACTCTTCTCTGTGGCTACTACCAGCCTCTGGGCGGCTACTACCTGTCTCTGGCCGGCTACTACCAGCCTCTGGGCGGCTACTGTCTCTGGCCGGCTACTACCAGCCTCTGGGCGGCTGCTACCTGTCTCTGGCCGGCTACTACCAGCCTCTGGGCGGCTACTACCTGTCTCTGGGCGGCTACTACCTGTCTCTGGCCGGCTACTACCAGCCTCTGGGCGGCTACTACCTGTCTCTGGCCGGCTACTACCAGCCTCTGGGCGGCTACTACCTGTCTCTGGCCGGCTACTACCAGCCTCTGGGCGGCTGCTACCTGTCTCTGGCCGGCTACTACCAGCCTCTGGGCGGCTACTACCTGTCTCTGGCCGGCTACTACCAGCCTCTGGGCGGCTACTACCTGTCTCTGGCCGGCTACTACCAGCCTCTGGGCGGCTGCTACCTGTCTCTGGCCGGCTACTACCAGCCTCTGGGCGGCTACTACCTGTCTCTGGCCGGCTACTACCAGCCTCTGGGCGGCTACTACCTGTCTCTGGCCGGCTACTACCAGCCTCTGGGCGGCTACTGCCTGTCTCTGGCCGGCTACTACCAGCCTCTGGCCGGCTACTACCAGCCTCTGGGCGGCTACTACCTGTCTCTGGCCGGCTACTACCTGCCTCTGGCCGGCTACTACCAGCCTCTGGCCGGCTACTACCTGTCTCTGGCCGGCTACTACCAGCCTCTGGCCGGCTACTACCTGTCTCTGGCCGGCTACTACCAGCCTCTGGGCGGCTACTGTCTGTGGCCGGCTACTACCAGCCTCTTGGCGGCTACTACCTGTCTCTGGCCGGCTACTACCAGCCTCTGGGCGGCTACTGTCTGTGGCCGGCTACTACCAGCCTCTGGGCGGCTACTACCAGCCTCTGGCCGGCTACTACCAGCCTCTGGCCGGCTACTACCAGCCTCTGGCCGGCTACTACCTGTCTCTGGCCGGCTTCTGCCAGCCTCTGGCCGGCTACTACCAGCTTTCTCGACGAGCATATCACCAGATCAACAACCCTGGGTGTTATCACCAGTACGAACAAGCAAACACAAAAACACTGAAATCTCCATTCATACTAGATACACTTGTTGGGACCACAAGACACATGGGTAACAGTTAGGCATCTTTATTCCGAAGCGTTTCGGAACTGGATACCATTATCGGCACTATTATGAATACCATTATCGGTATTGTATACCATTATCATAATCACACTTGCTTGGGACTCATTAGCCATCAGTGTTGTATTGTTGTTATGAATCAAGCCATGACGCTGCCCTACTGTCAGACCTCGTCAGTGCCATATACGGAAAGATTAGTTAAGCAGAGGCAAGATTAATGCCACTAAGCACCTAACTAGCACTAGTGCCATTACTAGACATGAAAGAACGAGACGTATTGACAGGCTATAAACTAGCACAGGCTCCCATGTTATGATCACTAAGACGTTCCAATAGGCGTGCTGTAGTCAGTTATGTACCAACTTTTAGTACAAAGATCAGTGATGGAGAATAAAGTGTACACAGTAAATAGCCTGATTAAGCATATATTCCACCACCAGAATGTACAAACTGTTTTTGTTTATGTATAGAGTTCCTGGACAAGTGGAAGGCAATATTGCAGAGGGAATTAAGAGTAAAATGAGAATACTCTTTCTACAAGTATCATATCTAAATAGTAAGTCAGAGCCGGTAAGGTGTGAGTCAATCAGGTGGTGTGAGCCAGCCAGTGGCACGAGAGGGTCTGATAGTCTGCTGTGGTGTGAGCCAGTCAGTGGCACGAGTGTGTCTGACGATATGAGGTGCTCCTAGAAGCCAGGTAACCCCCCTGAGGCCACCAACCCTCCCTCTAACACATTAGACTGCCACAGCACCTAGTTAGCCACCCCATACTATAATGGTCGACTTCATCCTAGAGAACAATGACTAACCATACTTCTGAGTGACTAACATACCGGATAGTTTTGCATGGCATGCGTCGAATACAGGACGAAATACCCCAACAGAGAGCAAAACTACCTTCAAGCCCTTAACATATGCTACACTAAGACTGTAAAGACAGTGCGAAAAAATAATCATACCTGTAGCCTTCGTGATTCACGAAATCGTAATAACACGATTACAAACACTTCAGGAAATGGGTGGGGTTTCAACCCCTGGCGAGTGAATCTTCACTTCGATGGGTCATTTGCTCCCACGGGCAAGAGGACTCTATTCTCACTACCATGCAGTCACTCTTATTTCTGCTGCTGTGTGGGGGTGTCCTAAGTAATCAAGGTTTACTGGAGTCCCAGAAGTAACTCATTATCCACCAATCCATCCTGTTCAACTGCAACATGATACCATCAACTTCAACCACAAGCCAATACTCAAGAGTATCGTCAACCTTAACTGTCAACGGGTGGAAACATCAGGACGTATTACCTTAAGACACCTGCTGTTCAATGTCACCCAGCAGTACAATAGGTACGTGGGTGTTAGTGGATTGGTGTGGGTCGCATCCTGGGATAAGATTGACCTAATTTGCAAGAAATGCTCTTCATAACAAAGGGCTTTCTATATAATAGTATGTCAGTGATATCAGTTATGGACTGTATACCTCGTACACAGCTTTGGTGTGCGCCAGGGGTTGAATACACGTAACAACATTTAAGACATGTTATCACAGATACATTTCGGTCCGAGGATTGAAACGTTTTTAACCTTACATTGGACTAAACGTCCGTACGCAGACTAGGTCTAGGAAGTTAGACGGATCTCCGACTTGGGTATCGGTTAACACTAGAACTAAGTGCTGAAGGAGTGATGATAATCTGACAATTGATAAATAAGGCATTTTATGCAACCTTTGAGTATCTTATGGAAACGTTTCGCCAGTCAGTGACTTCCTCAGTCCAATACAGAGAAGAAAGGTGGAAGACTGATGAACTGAACACATCGACTCCAGGCTTAGGGACTGAGTACCGTAAACTCTTTCTCATTTTCCACCGTTCTTCTCTGTATAGGACTGAAGAAGTCACTGGCTGACGAAACGTTCCACAATGAAGATAAACAGATATTACGCAACCGAGTGTCAACACAGCATGAAGCCAGGTTCCCCCTGACCCACTGATCCACCACCAAGACACTCCACAGTGGGTGCTCTGGACACCTCGAGGACAATCCATAGAGCACCACTGCCAGTGGTTCCTTCCACTTAAGAGGAATTCAGTCTGAGTTGTCTGCCAAGACGTGGGAGTCTGCCAGGGTAGCATGACCATGCCAC